TTTATCAATTAAAACAGGACGATAAATACGAGTTATCAAATAATTTGAATGATTAAAATTAAATTAAACAATAAAAAATAAGCATACAGAACTTATATTAAAGTACACGATTTTTAAATAGCCATGTAATTAATGAATTTTAATCTTAATCACATTTATAATTCTCATATTCTAAAAAATGAAAATATTACATAAAAAGCAATTCAATCAATAAAGATTATCCATATGAACTAAAATTAAAAAAAAAAAAACTATATTTTCAAATGTTAAAGGAGAATATAACATGTATTTAAACAAATAAAACATGAAAACAATACATTAGCAGTGAACTTAAATTTTCAGTTTACTCTCATACACAAAACATACAACTATATATATATATATATATATATATATATATATATATATGTATACTGTCATGCAGCAAAAAAATAGCTTTGCTGCTTTTTAAAAGAAAAATGATTAATAAACAGAACTAGAAAGTTATCATTATCTAATCACAGTAAGACATATATACATCAAAAAGTTGTGTATATAAAGTGTTTGAAATTCGTCCAGATCAAACATTCTCTGCAAGACTTTCGAGAAATTAATGATAAATATATCTAACAATATATATATGACAGTGGGAGAACATGTTGATAAGAGCAGGTATTGTATTGGTTGAGTGAGGGTCCACCAGTTTGACACTCGTGACTCTGCCAACCCAAAATATATCCAAAAATGAAAGAAAATGAAAAGGAGAAGACAAGAGAAGAAACAAAGTACTGTACAACGTCGTTGTCCACCCCATGCAAGACAACATGTCAGACCACACGCTCTTTTTCTGAACACACTCATTTTCCCCTTTTCTCAAAAGTAGCAGCATCTTCTTTCTAACCAGAGTAATCATATTTCACACACAGATTTTTTATACACTCACATCACATTCTCTACCACTTCAATTTCATCTTATTTTTATCACATCAAAACACACAAGAAAATGCAACCCCTAATCACAACGTAGAATCATAACACCATAATGATCATTATTCATAACATATCACTAATTAATATACAGTACAATGCTTTTGAGTTGATGACGTACCTTTGTACTTTTGTTCGATGATTTTCCTCACTGAAAATTCCCTCCACCACCCCCAAAAGCTTGACCTGACGGCGCAGCATTGTTATTATTATTGCTGTTACTGTTATTTCGTTGATCTGCTTCCAAAGAACTCAAGTTGAAGCCATGCTGTTGTTGCTGCTGTTCTCTCTGTGCAACTCCTCCACTCCCACTCATGCCTCTAACAATCTGACCCACACCCAGAAAATCGCGGGTGAGTCTATCGGACCCCCCAATGCTACTGCTTCCACTCATTGCATGCACTTTTCCCTCCCTGTTGTTATTATTACTGTTATGATCATACGCTTCAAACCCACCTTCAAAAATGGAAGAGTTTCCACCAACAGCGAACGAGTTCATCAGGTCTTGAAGGTTGCTGTTACCCTGTTCGTTCACGTTCCCTCCGAAGATTCCGCCGCCGTAGTTTGCAGCGTTCACCAGTGGCCTGTGTTGCTCGGATTTTGAGCCGCTGCTGGAGGACGCGCTTCCGAAGCTTTTCAACAGCGAAGCTGTGCTGTTGCTCGAAGACGCACCCATTTGTGCGGCTTTCTGAAGCAGTGCAGTTGCGGACATGTGAGATAGTGCACTGGCGTTGGCGTTTGCACTGACAGCGTTGTTGTTGTTGTTGCTGAAGAGAGAGGGAGCGCTTGAAGTTGTGAAGAAGTTAGCGCTCTCGTTGTTGTTGCTGCTGTTGTTGGTATTGTTGAAGTTTTCAGTGAAGGAAGCATTGTTGGTGGTGTTTGAAAGGAAAGGAAGGTTGAAGGGTGAGTTGCTGTTGCTGAGATGATCGGGGATCTGCATCAGTCCTTGTTGGAAGGGTTTGTTTTGGAGCAGCCCTTGTTGTTGTTGTTGGTCGGGGTGGTAGTTTTGGTTAGGTTCCATAAAGTAGGGTGGTTGTTGTTGGGAGGGTCTGAAGGGAGAACCTAGGAGATGGTCGAATTGGGAGGTTCTTGCGGCGGCGCCACCGAGGCGGAGGAGTTCTGTTGGCTGGGTGTTGGGGTCTTGGATGTTGGAAATGTGAGAAGCAACCTGAGAAAGGTTTAGAGGAATGGTGTTGGCGGTGGTTCCGAAGAGGTGGGTGCCGATGGCGGCGCCAAGGTTTGGTGGATGTCTTGCACTCTCTTGAGCAAGTGCATCGCAGAAGGCCCTGTGGGTGATGAAACTGTCCCTCCTGCATTCATTCAAACAACTAGTGGATTAATCACACACTTCTTATGATAAAGAACATTGAGTTTTATGATAGATCACATCAAATATTCTATCAAAAATGCTGAACAGTTTTATACTTTTTGATTTTTAATCACAAATGTACATGCAATAAGTTTGTTAATTTTTATAATATTAATTTTGAAATTTATATAAAAAATTATTAAGAATTTCTTAATAATGTAAATATAACTAAATATGACCATTCAACTCTTACAATAATTGTTTTAAAGTTATATTTAGAATACATTTTAGTTAGTTAACAAATGTTCAAGTTAATCTAAATTGATTTTCAATGTTTTGGAGGATGTGTGTTAGTGTTACTTATATTATTACATGATTTTGAACTATCTTTCTTCCGTCAACTTTCACATGATATATAATAAAACTTTGTTAAATTTTTTTTTCTGGGGAATCACTTATATGTTAGTTGGAGAATTGATATTAAATTATCTAATATTTTTTTTTATTTAGCAGAGAATATATGAATGATTGAGTGAATTAATTAAAAATAATTCAGAAGAACAAGGAAAATTATTTCTGAATGTAAATTAACTTTGAAACCCATAACTTATATGTCTGTTACCAAAACTTAGCTGATATTAAAAAATATTTTTTAGAAGAAAATGAATATATATATTAAAATTTTGTTGGATGATTTGTCCAAGAAACGGAAGTTCATCATGGAAAACTATATATTATATAAATTATCTCAGATGATTTGTGAAAAAAAAAGGAAGTTCTTCGTCCAAAATATTATGAATTACATCAAGGATTGGTTGTTTCAAATTTAATTATGAAAGGTCAGTAAGAGTTTGTTTACGTATGGTTATAGGAGCTAATGATTTTGTATGTAGCGTGTGTGTAGAGAGAGAGAGAGAGGAGAAGGAGGAAAATTTTCATAAATGATTTTTAAGCTTAATTAAGAATAAAAAGAAATTAAACGAAATAGTTAACTTGAGAAACAAACAGTATAAGAAAAAGATAATTTAAACTTGGTACGTATCTGATATATACATAGATAACTAGAATTAGGAGTTGGCTTTTTCCAAGTAAAAGACAATAAAAATCTTAATGACAAAATGACTTAAAAAATGTTAAGATCCAAATATAAGAATAAAAAGCCTTAATTGGCCCGAGGACAAACATTAGCGTGTATTTATGAAACTATAAATTGGAAAAAAAAATAACACGGTGACAACTCGAGAAGCGAATGAGAAGAGAAGTGAAAATTTCCAAAAGGGTACAAAACAAGTAGGTGGAATAATTTGATAAAAAAAAAAGATTAACCAATGAATTAAGAATTGCTGTGAAGGACTTGACTTGAGAATGTGGTCTGAGTGTTCAATAAATGGAAGCAAGGAACAGTATTGAATGTTTTTGAGATGTAAAAGCGAACATTGAAGAAGCATGATTGTGGGATTGTGCTCGAAGTGGAGTTAGTTTGACTGTAATGCTATGAGAATTGTCAACAAGGATGTACCCACTTTGTGAGTTAATGATTAACATTTATTAGGTACTGCATATCTCTGATGTGAATTCAGCTTGACCACTCACTCTCTCACAACACATTAAAACCGAGGAAAAAGAAAAGTAGTACCACAACTAGATACATTAAAACAGAGAGAGAGAAAGAGAGAGAGAGAGAGAGTTGGATGCTTGATTAGGCCATAACGTTATCATGAAAAGTAGAACCTGCAAGAGCACAGTACTGAACACATCTAGCCAACCCAGAAGAAAACAAAGGTGGTAACAACATATCACACACAAACACACACATATTCTTTCTCTCTCTCTCTCCTCTTCATGGCAAAGCAACACGTGAACAGAAAAGAGAAAAAAAGAAAAGAAAAGGAAAAATGGGGGAAAGAGCGGTGTTTTCGAGGTGAAATGAGAAAGGAAGGGTTATTTTTGCATAGCTTTATGGGTTTTTGATGAGAGAGGGTGCTGTTCCTCCGTGTGTGTTTGTTCTGAAAGCCCTATAACCAAGGCAGTTTCCAGAGATGATTCACGTGGGGGGATGTTTCCTTCCATTTCTCTTGGTTGGCCACCGTACCAATAGAAAGGAATGATGACAAAGGAAACCATACGAGAGAGAAGCAACCAACCGAGTGGACAGAATCTTAATCAATCAAATTCAAAGGAAACCATACTCAGAAGATAAAAAAAGCATCTAAGCCTTTTTCCTCACTGTAGCAAGCTACTGTATATGAGTGTCTTCACACCAGAAGAATCTATTATAACCCTTAAGCCAACCCCAAAGAAGCCAAAACCAAACCGGACACTGTTCTCCTTCTTCTGTTTATGGCCATTTCTGGCTGTGTTAGGCTAAATTTTGCATAATAGGTAAAAAGAGTCGGTGTTTGGAAAAAGGGTAACAGCAAAAATAAGATACATGTTACTTAATTAGTACTGTGTTTATTATTATTACCTGGAGAAGAGTGTACCACAATCACATCTGTATTCTCTGGTGCCACAAGTCTTAGAATGGGCTTTCCAATCTGATTGAACAGCATATTTCTTGGAGCACTTGTCACACTTCCACTTCTTCTCACCATGTTTGCGAGAGTAGTGTTTCTTAATGCCAGTGAGGTCTCCAAGAGCCCTTGAAGGGTCATGGTGGACGCATGTGGGCTCAGGACACAGATAAACCTTTCTCTTTGGCTCTTTGTTGCTCTTCTGCTTCAGCTTCCATGGCAGATTGTGTCCTCTTCTGTGAAGCTGTAGATTTTGCTCCCTTTGAAACCCTTTATTGCACACTTCGCATATAAACCTGTTTGTTGCCATTAGGGTCTTGGGAGATAGTGCTATCACCTCCGCATCTGGATCTGTTGCCATGGAAAAATGACAAACAACAAATTATTAGAAAATTTTTCAGTTCACACAAGGCAAAATATAAAAGAAAAAAAGAACATACTACCAAAACCTGGAAATCAATTCGAGAAAGCTTCAAGACAAGGATTTCCAAATACATACATGCCCATTTAATCCCGTTCCATCTTAATTACATTTGTTTTGAAATTAGGGTTCCCTCGGGAATTCACACATTCCGAGTGAAACAAAAGGGTATAACCAGAAAAAGTTTGTGGAATGAAAATAGATACAATCTATGAAAGGAAAACAAAAAAAAAAAGAACTTTTATCATAGAGAACCATTTAGAGATTAGATCTTAATTTCTGATAAAAAAAAAACTTCAAAAATACTTGCATGGAGTTCCAGGTTGGTTTCTCTTTTTCTTCTGGGGTGGTGGTGCAGCTGGTGTTGCAGACGAAGATGGTGTCAAGGAATGCTGTTGCTTCATCTGGTTTTGATCCTCTTCTCTAAAGCCAAAGAGTGATGCTGAGGAAGATGATGCCGCCATGTGTTGTAGCAAGTTCTATATATAACAAAATTAACCTTCTTCTGTTTGGTCTGGGAGTATCCTTTTCTCCTTGAACCCCACAACTGAATCAGAATTCTGGAAAACCCACATGCAATTTGAGTCCACTATTCAATTCACAACCCCGATCTCAGAAAAGAAAAACTCGTAAAGCAATTAATAGAATTCTAACAAAGGAAAAACACAGAGGGAGATAGAACGGACAAAGAGAATTGAAGAGGAAGAAATTAATAGCAATAGCAAATATTCAACTCCTCCATAGACACTGCCCTGGTGTTAATATTCTCCGCAGGTTGGCTTGTTATAAATGAGAAATTTGAGCTGGCAACAATATTACTCAGTTTCTTCACTGATTTGGTGTCATGCAGATACACCAACACATACTCACAAAACATTTCCTTTTTTTTTTTCCCTTTTTCTTTTATTCTCTTGAAAAGCTTTTCCAGATTTTGCTCAGTTCTCCCTTGTCATAAATGAAAATTTTACACTAGCAAAAATTAATGAATGAGAGAGAGGGTAAGGCCTACGGGTCGGTGGACCCAATCCTCAGCCACATAACGACATAGGATGTGTGAAAGCAGCATGAAACAGCTACACCACTCTCTCTCTCTCTCTATCTCATATTTCGTATCTTCTCACTCACTCCCAGACAAACTTTCACTCATCACTCAGCCCCACTGGGCCTCACGCAAAATTCAAAAGGAAAAAAAAAAGGACAATGAATGAAACTCTTTAACCGTAAAACCAATGGAGAGAACAAAAATAAATAGCAGTAATAAAACAACCTCGGTTAAGGAAATAGCAGTAATTAAATTAAGCAGAACTTAAATGGTAAAATGATAGGAAGGAATATGTAGGGATGATGTTGTGTTGTGTCAATGTATTGATATTGGTTTTGGTTTGTAAAGTGGAAAAATAAAAACACCTGATGGTTGATTGGATGAGGGGTGAATGACACTGTTTGTCTGAAATTCAGCGGAGGCAGAGTGTACTGTACTGTTACCGTTTATGGTAACTGACATGGAAAGGGCAAAAAAGGATTCTGAAACTCTATGTGCTGTGTTTGGCTGACTTGGGTTGAGGTCCTTCTTCCCTTCTGCTGTTGCATGCAATGTATGCAGTGCCTGGCTGGTCCTGCCCAAAGGTCACATCAATGGAAGGGTAGTTTCGTTATTTTTTGAAAAAGTGGGGAAAATCGCAATCAGAACACCCAAGAAAGGACCTAATCCAACCACTATGGATAAACAAATCACCAAGGAATTTTTTTGAGGTTGCTATGGTCACAGATGAATTCTACACCGTGGATCCTGTGGAAACAATATCACTGTCAACTGCATCGACCACCTTTTTTTCTTTCTGAGATATTACCATGGAATAGAATAGAATAGAATAAAGTGAAATGTGTGCTTTTAGGGGAATTATGAGGTCTTTTGACAGAGATAGTTATTAATATTATTATCGACTTTTTAATATTAATATTAATATTAATATTAATATTAATAAATCATTTTCTTCAACACACTATTTATTCCATCTCTTTGCTTCGCTGTCTTTTCTATTAAATTTATTACTTTATTAATTGGCATTTATGTTTCAATAATTAAACAGCCCATAAGTTACAAAGGGCGTTATCATTCTTTGGCAAAAACATGACACCTTAACTGTAAAGAATTATGATTTTTGACACTGATATTAATGAGATATAAAGTCAAACTTTAGACTCATAAATGCTCTACTTTATATAAGGAATTGCTACTCATCTTCTAACTAACTACATTCACAAGATACAATCTCTTCATAAAGTTAAAATTAATTTGTAATTTATGTTTAATTTATCTATTAAATATTTTTACATTACAATTTAATTTTTTTACTTTTTACTTTTTCCTAAACTTTTAATAGAAAGTTCTCTCAAAACTTCCATGATCATCTATATTTCATGAAATTTACCTATTAAACTGTCATTTTCAAAAAGGAAAATGAAGAGATTTATTTAAAACAAAAGGAAAATTAAAATACTTAACAAGTTTGATGTCAAACATTATATAAAATAGTAAATCATGCTAAAATTAATATATTCATATATATATATATATATATATATATATATATATATATATATATATATATATATATATATATAAGGAAAAAAAACATGTGGGACTAAAATTTACTTCAATCATATCTTTTAAAAGAAATTTCTGAAGTAGTCAAACTAAGGAGATAGATATAAACAGTTCAATTCATAAACCTTTCATAAACTTAATTTGTAGATTAATTATAATTGATATGGAAGTTGGTGAAGTATGGGGTTGTTGTATTTTTATTTTGATTTGATTATTAGGTTGATGAATGAGAAGGGACCCCAGAACAAATAAATAATTAAAGTTCATGTAATGAAATCCCAATCATGGTTTTCTTGGTTGGTTTCTAGTTTGTTGTCATTCTTTTAGACAAAGATCCAAAGCAGAAGAGACCGGTAGAAAAAATAAAAAATAAAATTATGGTGTGTATAATAAGATAAGAGCCTGCATCCATAAGAGTACTACTCTCTACTTAGTCTTTTAAGTCTTCAAAACATTCAACTAAAGAATTAAAAAAAATAAATAGTCAAATAAAATATCTAATGCTAGTTTTTTAAACAAAATCTGAAAATTACCCTGAGTTTGGAAATATATATTCTGATTCGAACCAGAAACGTTCATTCTACTGGTCCTAAGTCTGCAACGTATAATAGTAAGGAAAAAAAAACCAACAGTTATAGAAACATTGAAGAAAGACACATCGGAAGTGTGAACCAACCGAAACCTAATTTTCAATGAAAAGAAAAACATTTGAAGACAAGGACTAAGGTAAGACTCTTTTAGACTTTTAGTGACCACTCATGCATATATATAGTTCATGGTGCTGCACACAAATACAAAGTCTGGTATGATCAGAAGGACACGCACGTTCCAATACGATCTTCAATGGCGGCGGCATTTTCTTCTCACGAAACTAGCTAGCGTTGTCTTTTCTCACAGTTTCTCTCATGTCCTCTTACTAACTACAATCCAAACTCGTTCCTCAGTACATACCATGTATTGAAAAAGGTTACATATTGTTTTGTTATTCTGAGTCAAAATATTGTTGTAGCACCCAAAAGTTTAGCATCAATGGGATCGTGTTTGAATTTGACACCTTGCTAGAGTTCATTGCATGAATTAGCAGAAATCTAGCTACAGGACCCAATCCATATTTTATTTATTAATATTAACTCAAAAATTTCAAAAATAAATAAAATGAACCTAATTCATGTTGTCGGGTAATTGGTTGTTGGCCTTATATAGGTAGTTGTTGTCTTCGGAAATTCCCTCAGTTAAATACCAACAAAATCATGGGAGTTGTAAACAAATAACATGAAATTGGACAGAAAATCTCAAATTTAAATTAAAAATGTAGATTTTATGAGTTTGATACACGCATTAGCTCACACCTTTAATTTCACAGTTTACTTCACCCTGAATAGGCCCATAACATAAGTGGCTGACTTGTATAAGTTTTGAAAAAAAAAACTGTGATTTATTTTTATATATATACTAACAAATGCGTAAGATTTTTTTTAGTTGGTATATTTTAGTAATGTGTACCGGGTTTTAGTAGACAAAAATCCCGAAACTCTTACTTACCTCTCTCATTCCTCTCCACTTTTTCTCTTTCATCTCTCTTACTCCAACCTTTTCTCTGTCATCTCTATTGTAATCCCAACGAAAAAAATCAGAAACACTCACCTAACTCTAATTCACCTTCGTCACTTATTCAATTTGTTTCTCTCTCATCTTCATCCTCTCACACATCCACACACAGAAACCCGCGACACCGCAATTTGTTGTTCTTGTTCTGTTTGTTCATTTGTTTTTCAATTTAATAACACAATAATTGATGATGTTGATGTTGATTTTTGATTGGAGAGTTGTGTTATATATTTTCTCTTCTATTGTAATTAAATTTGTAAAAAACTAAAGTCTACAATAATTTCAATAACTTCAAAACTAAAAAAAATAAGAAACCTCCCACGAAAAAATGTTAGCATCAACTCATAATAGTTGCAAAGCATTTAGTTTCTTAATACCAATTTTAATAAAATCATAGAAATGAAAGGAGTAGAAGTTAAATTATGAGCGTGATTGGTAACAAATTTATTAGTTTAAATTCCAATTTGAAATTTAATACGTTTTGTTTTTCTTAATTTCACTTATGCTGCAAATGATAAATGAGAATCACAATATCATGTTTATAATTCTGATAAAATCATAGAAATTAAAGGAGTAGAAGTTAAACATGAGTGTGATGGTAACAAATTTATTAAGTTTAAATTCTAATTTGAAAGTGTTTTGTTTTTCTTAATTTCACTTCTGCCGCAAATGATATATTAGAATGACATCATATTTATATTGACCAAACAAGTTGGAGATGTGAATTGTTTAAAATACACTTACATGATGTGATTTACTTTGGAATGTAATTTTTTGGTTTAACTTAAGAGCTAACAAGTTCATTATGACTGGTTTACTAATTTCTGGTTGATTTTTAATTAGTTGGTATATCAATGCAGTTCTTCTTAAAAACTACTCAATATTGTGCAATCTGCTCAAATCTAGAAGATGTGTAATTTGTTAGAATATTTTTATTCTTTTTACAAAAATGAAATGAAAATATGTTTATCAATATGAAATATTCGAGAGGGAACGAACAATGATCTTTTTCTGAATAAGGGGATAAAGTCAACAACAACAAATTTCTTTGTTCATAACTCTCCTCAATAATTTGTTCTGGTTAAATCATTTAGTATAATATGCAAGAGCTTTTATGTTTTTTGACATTGGTTATACGAAGGAAGGTGAAAAGTATATTCCATTTTCTGGACAATGACTTATCCCTTCCTAAATCCCCTTTTCACATAACAGTTTTTCTCTTCGGAAAAATATTTTCAGACAACTTAATAGTCAAAATATCAATTCTCCCTCGAGATAAACTACTAATTCTAAAATTTAATAACAATTAGAAGCGAAAAAATATAACACAACCCTCTGATAAAAAATCAACATCAACATCATCAATTATTTTGTTATCAAAGTAGAAAACAAGTGAACGAACAGAGTAAGAGCAATAAATTGCGGTGTCACGGGTTGTTGTGTGTGGGTGAGAGAGTATGGAGTTGAGAGAGAAACAAATAAGATAAGTGAGGAAGGTGAATTAGGGTTAGACGAATGTTTATGATTTTTTTTCCGTTGAGGCTACAGTAGGGATGTCAGAGAAAAAGTTGGAGTGAGAGAAATGAAAGAGAAAGGGTTGAGAGTAATAAGAAAGGTGAGTAAGGGTTTGGGTTTCTTTTTTTTACTTTTGAGAATAAAAATTATTTAAATATCTTTGACCTTAAAGCTTAGAATCAATAATATATGAAGGTATTTTTGTCTATTAAAACCCGATACAAATTGCTAAAATGTATCAACTAAAAAAACCTCAATAATGTTAACAAATCACACACATGTATATATATATATATATATATATATATATATATATATATATATATTACAATTATATTTTTGATTGAAATATCACAAATTATTCTAGACAGAGTCTTTCTTCTTA